GTAGTAATTTCATACTACGGTTATATAATAATATAATGCAACAATTTTCAAAAACCATGTTAGGGCCATTTGTTTGATCCAAATTTAAAAATGTACATTATTTTCATTCTAATGAATAATCAAAATGCAATAAAAAATTGAAAACGCAACCTAGAAAGTATTTTTTTAGCTCAATTAACATAGGCCGTCGATTCTGGTGAGATACTTAGATCTAGGCCTTGGAATGATTTTTTTTCTTTCCAAAATTTTAAGATAACTTTATTATTATTAGATTAGGAATATTAAAAAAGAAAATATTAATTTTAAATTCATAAAGGCCTAGATCTTGAAATTCATCAAATGGATGGTCTACATTCATTGTTGGTGGGGACTCATTTTGACCATCTATAAGATGCAAATTATTATTATTTTTTAGGTTAATTATTGAGATGAAGAGAGTATATATGCAAAATTTTGGGTCATACAAAAACCACAAACATGGTTTTCTAGAATTGTGGTTACATTATATTGTGATACAGTCGTTACATGAGATCACTACAGCCCTACCTGCTGGGTAAAAACGGGTTTTTTCATGTCGACCCATTAAATGGCCTGGTCCAGATGGGCCCAGAGCCCGGTAACAAGCTTGTTATAGGCCCAAAACCAGGCCCGGCCTGGACCTGTCCATTAACACCCCTATCTACAAGTTCTCCAAATTGGTCAACTAAAGGCTTCTACAAATCAATCCATACTCTACATTTTTGTAACAAATGTGGTAATGTTATTATGTTTGTCAAGACCAAATCAAGCTCAATTAAACTGAAGGTCAAAACCACGATAAGATCACGAGTACCACCATATTCAATCCCTCTCTCTCTCTCTCATGCTTCAAGAGACAAAGGCAGATTATGAATATACTCTCTCCTTCGTTAAAATGTTAAAATATAAATTGTTAATCTCTTTGTGGAGTTATATTTTTCTAGAATTCTCTTCTCCCTTTAAATCTCTAGAGTAGATGGAGGAGATAGTATATTTTGCACTTTCAAGGATATACTACATTTGTAGTGCATTTTGTACTTTCAATAAGTATGTACTAGACAATACTAGAGGTGACTATAAATACATCTATGGGACATGAGTATATATGGGAAAAGGTCGTGTAAAGATAGAGTAAGAAAATGTGTGTTGTCTTACTTGTGTAAATTTATTCTACCAAAATAGAAAAATTGTCCTTGTCAATTGAGCCTTCCTCTCTAACAAATTTTTGGCATTAGAACAAGGTTGTTTTGAAAGATCCTACTATGCCACCAAATTCTAGCATGAACTAGGTGGATTAAATTATAATTCTTAGATTCTCCAAATGAAGACTTTTTTTTTCTCACAAGATCTACTCGATCTAGGAGAATAAGGCTACCAAGAGCCACAAGAAGCAACAACACTAGTATCATGTTCTCAGGTAAAAGAAAATAAATCCCGGGAAAATAAAAAGACAGAGATAAAAGCTCATCTCTTCATCCAGTAAGGGCTAAATAGATATATCTTTTTTTGAATTAAGATTGCTTCAAAATCAATAGAAGTATGAGATATTTTGCAAAATGAATTTTAAATATATGAAAAAGTCATTTCCTTTAAACTTCAATCTTTATGGAGAGAATTTGATAATTTGATGGTGAAAGATAATGAATCTATCCAAGTATTATTTTCTAAAGTGGTTGAAATTATTAATTGAACTATAAGCTGTGGAGATGTTATTCAAGATAAAGATAGTTCAATTTTTTTTGAGAAGTTTGCTTGCAAAATGTGATCACATACAAACTACCACAAAAGAATATAAGAACTTTACTTTAACCTTATAAGAATTAAGTGAGTCTCTTGAAGCACATAAGCAAATGATCAGTAGGTTCTCAATTCGGACCCTAGAACAAACATTTTAGTCTAAAGGAACTATGTCAAAAGGGAAAAATGTTAAGTTTGAAAAAGAAAATAGAAAAAGGAGCATTTTGAAAATTACAAAGATGTAATGGAAGACAAATTTTTTCCGGCGGTCGAAGAAGAGGATGAGGAATAAATCACTAAAACAACCAAAGACATTCATATGAAATGGTAAATCCAAATCACATTATTTTATTTGTAAAAAACTGGTCACAAATCAAAATATTGTCCATTTAATTATAAAAAATGGAGACTTTCCAAAATGTAGCCCATTTAATTATAAAAAAATGAAGAATTTATAATCTCAAAGAGATTGGTGGGGTCAACAAAAGAATGAAGCAAATTTGTCTGAAAAAAATGATTCAAATCATTGTTTTTGCTCGTGCATGAATGTTGAGCAAAATTCACATGATACTTGGTATCTAGAAAGTGGTTGTCGTAATAATATGGCAAGAAATTAAATTGTTTTGCTA